TGTTAGTAAGCTTACTAGAATTACTGCATATTCTCAACTGGAAATATGTTTGTCTTGTTGCTCTGATTCCATGTTTGGGCTTTTTTGTCCATTATTATTCTTGATCTGGATTCTTACTGGGTTTTTGAGGCATCATAGATCAAGTCCTGTGCTGAACTGCAGCTCAGGTCTCATTTATACCCCTTGCTTCAATGTAACTGTAATATTTCTCCTGGGTCACTTGCTGACTAATCCTTCTCCATCTGCATTCCCGATACAGGAACTCTTTCTCTTCTCCATCATGGATTTTAAATTCCGACAGCCCCTGTTTTAAGTCATGTATCCTGCCCCCCTCAAATTAGAGTTTTGAGCTCAGCACTGTTCATCATGTGGTATATTTTTGGTGTGTTCAGTGTGAGCGGTAAAAAAATTCATGACTGCTAGCCAGCCTCCTGAACAGGGCAGAGAGAAGCTTCAACTCCAGCTTCCTCAGCAGCCTGGAGAGTCTGGGGGGGCGTGGGCAATAATTTTTGACCGGGGGCCACTTCAGACATTTTTGAAGTGGCCCTGGGCTGCCCCAGAAAGGGCAGGGCCTCAGGTGGAAGGGGCGGGACCAGGACACTTCTGTGCTTCTCCGCCCACAGACCCTGTGAAGTCTTTGCCCCTGCCCCGGAGAGAACTGCCAGCTGTTCTGAACCCCTGGGGGAAGAGGAGGAGACTTTGCATGCTCCCCTTCCTGCCCCCAGGTCAATCAGGGCCTGGGGTGAGGGAAGCTCACACAGTCTGCCCCGCCCTGCAAGGGAGCGCTGCACTTAGTCACCTGACAGCTGAGCAGCAGCTGGCAGTCGACTCTAGGGCTACATCTACATTGGCAAGATTTTGTGCAAAAACTCTTTAACACAAGAGTTTTTGCGTTAGAGTATTTGCACAAGAGAGTGTCCACACCGGCATGTGCCTTTGCGCAAGAGATGTGCTTTTGCGCAAGAGCATCCGTGCCAGTGTAGACGCTCTCTTGCGCAAGAAAGCTCTGATGGCCATTTTAACCATTGGGCTTTCTTGTGCAAGAAATTCATATTGTCTGTCCACACTGGCCTCTTGCGCAAGAACAGTTGCACAACAGAGCTTATTCCTGAGCAGGAGCATCATAGTTCTTGCGCAAGAAGCCCTGATTTCACACATTAGAACGTCAGTGTTCTTGCGCAAAACTTCCCGCCAGTGTAGACAGGCAGCAAGTTTTTGCGCAAAAGTGGATGTTTTTGTGCAAAATCATGGCAATGTAGACACAGCCCGGAGAGAACTGCCAGCTGTTCTGAACCCCTGGGGGAAGAGGAGGAGACTTTGCATGCTCCCCTTCCTGCCCCCAGGTCAATCAGGGCCTGGGGTGAGGGAAGCTCACACAGTCTGCCCCGCCCTGCAAGGGAGCGCTGCACTTAGTCACCTGACAGCTGAGCAGCAGCTGGCAGTCGACTCTAGGGCTACATCTACATTGGCAAGATTTTGTGCAAAAACTCTTTAACACAAGAGTTTTTGCGTTAGAGTATTTGCACAAGAGAGTGTCCACACCGGCATGTGCCTTTGCGCAAGAGATGTGCTTTTGCGCAAGAGCATCCGTGCCAGTGTAGACGCTCTCTTGCGCAAGAAAGCTCTGATGGCCATTTTAACCATTGGGCTTTCTTGTGCAAGAAATTCATATTGTCTGTCCACACTGGCCTCTTGCGCAAGAACAGTTGCACAACAGAGCTTATTCCTGAGCAGGAGCATCATAGTTCTTGCGCAAGAAGCCCTGATTTCACACATTAGAACGTCAGTGTTCTTGCGCAAAACTTCCCGCCAGTGTAGACAGGCAGCAAGTTTTTGCGCAAAAGTGGATGTTTTTGTGCAAAATCATGGCAATGTAGACACAGCCTAAGGGAATATCTAGACTACATGGCTCCGTTGATGGAGCCATGTAAACTAGTTTACCCTGTATAGGCAAAGAAGTGTTTCGTGAGGCATAAGGGATCGGTCGGCAAAGGCTTTCCCCAGCCGACAGATCCATGTCTAGACTGCCGCGCTGTGCCGGATCAGCTGATCGTCAGCACAGCGTGGCGGTCATGTGTATTTTAATGAAGCAGGGATTATTTAAATCCCCGCTTCTTTGCCTATGCTGGGTAAACTAATTTACATGGCTCTGTTGACGGAGCCATGTAGTCAGACATACCCTAAGGGCTAAGCCCCTTGCAGGGTGGGAGGAGACTTTGTGCTTCTCCCCTGACCCCAGGCCCTGACTGGCCTGGGGAGGAGCTCAAAGTCTCTCGCTCTCTGCCCTCTGGCAAACAGTGCGTAGACTCCACCACGAGGATTGACTCTAAGCACTGTGCGCTCTCCCGTTCCTAGGCCCTCATTGGCCTTGGGGTGGGGGAGCGGCAGGACCTCTATGGGCCGGATCAACACACTTGGTGGCTCGGATCTGGCCGGCAGAGGCCCTTTTGCCCACCCCTGGGTTAGGGGAAGGTCCACAGTACCGATTTCCTTCTTCCTGGGGGTGGTGGGAAGGAAGGAATAAGGATTTTTAAAAGACATTTCCTTCTCTGAGGGTCCATAGTGAAGAAATGGGACCTTTCCATCTGCTGAAGCCCAGGGTTGGAGGTGGAGCTGGGTTCTCAGTAGATGTATGTACCCAGTATTGCTCTAATCAATACTTATCCCTTCTGCATAGGCCGGGGGCTTGTGTTCAGTGCACACTAGACTCATAGACTAGGACAGAGGTTTCGACTCTTTTCTTTTATTGGCTAGATCCTCCTTCAGAGTCATGTTCCCTGCACCTTCTCCCACTTGCCCTGGAAGACAGGAGAGAGAGTGCTGCGAAGGCTGGGGAGAGCAGGAGGTGGGGGATGAGTTGCTTGGAAAGAGGTAGGGAGTGGCAGTTTCTGGGTGTCTGAGGGCGGCAAGGTGTGTGTGGGAGAGTGTTAGATAAGAATATAAGAACGGCCGTACTGGGTCAGACCAAAGGTCCATCTAGCCCAGTATCCTGTCTACCGACAGTGGCCAGCACCAGGTGCCCCAGAGAGGGTAGACCGAAGACAATGATCAAGCGATTTTGTCTCCTGCCATCCCTCTCCAGCCTCTGACAGGCAGAGGCCAAGGACACCATTTTATCCCCTGGCTAATAGCCTTTTATGGACCTAACCTCCATGAAATTATCTAGCTTCTCTTTAAACTCTATTATATTCCTAGCCTTCACAGCCTCCTCTGGCAAGGAGTTCCACAGGTTGACTATGTGCTGTGTGAAGAAGAACTTTCTTTTATTAGTTTTAAACCTGCTACCCATTAACTTCATTTGGTGTCCTCTAGTTCTTCTATTATGGGAACTAATAAATAACTTTTCTTTACTCGCCCTCTCCACACCACTCATGATTGTATAGACCTCTATCATATCCCCCCTCAGTCTCCTCTTTTCTAAACTGAAAAGTCCCAGTCGCTTTAACCTCTCCTCATATGGGACCCGTTCCAAACCCCTGATCATTTTAGTTGCCCTTTTCTGAACACTTTCCAGGGCCAAAATATATTTTTTGAGGTGAGGAGACCACATCTGTACACAGTATTCCAGATGTGGGTGTACCATAGTTTTATACAGGTGCAGTAAGATATTCTGGGTCTTATTTTCTATCCCTTTCTTAATTCCTAGCATCCTACTTGCCTTTTTGACCGCCGCTGCACACTGTGTGGAAGTTTTCAGAGAACTGTTCACGATAACTCCAAGATCCCTTTCCTGATTTGTCGTAGCCAAATTAGCCCCCATCATACTGTACGTATAGTTGGGGTTATTTTTCCCAATGTGCATTACTTTACACTTATCCACATTAAATTTCATTTGCCATTTTGTTGCCCAATCACTCGGTTTGGTGAGATCTTCTTGGAGTCCCTCACAGTCTGCTTCTGTCTTGACTATCCTAAACAGTTTGGTATGATCCGCAAACTTTACCACCTCACTGCTTACCCCTTGGGTGCTTGCAGCAGGTAGCATTCCCATCCTTTCCCCATGCACACCTCTGCCTGGCTAGGTTACCAGGTGCCCAGCTGCTCCCCTTCTTATCTGCTTCTGAGCCCACAGAAACCATTTTGCAGCTACCAGAGGCTGTGCCTCTTGCACTGCTGTTTTTCCACAGTGGGAAGCTACCCTTCACAAGGCCCCCCCAGCACACCCCGCATCTGGCTCCCCCACAGTTCATCTATACTGGTGCCAACCCAACCTGAACTCGAGCACAGCCCCCTCTGAGCACAGTGAAGTGATAGTGACACCATTGGGGGTCTGTAGCTAAGTGGGCTGTGGAGGCCTGCCTGCACGGTTCAGCTGACTCAGACTTGCCCCTGTGCTATGCTGCTTGTGATCCCCTGATAAACTTGGTGGCTGCGTCTAGACTGGCAAGTTTTTCCGCAAAAGCAGAAAAACTTGCCAGCTGTCTACACTGGCCACTTTAATTTGCGGAAGAGCACTGACGATCTGATGTAAGATTGTAAGTGTTCTTGCGGAAATACTGTGCTGCTCCCGTTTGGGGGGGAAAAGCCCTCTTGTGCAAATATATTTGCACAAGAGGGCCAGTGCAGACAGCTCAGGACTGTTTTGCGCGCAAAAGCCCCTATAGCATAAATGGTGATTGGGGCTTTCTTGCGCAAAACCGCGTCTAGATTGGCACAGACACTTTTCCACAAAAAGTGCTTTTGTGCAAAAGCGTCCGTGCCAATCTAGACACTCTTTTCCACAAATGCTTTTAATGGAAAAACTTTTCTGTTAAAAGCATGTGTGGAAAATCATGCCAGTTTAGATGTAGCCAGTGTGTTTACACCCCTACTCCCCATTTGAAAGCCAGTGGGCTAAGAGATGCACACTGTCACTGGTTAGATATTGCTCTTGCATTCTAACAAGCAAGCTATCCACTTCAGTAGAATGCACCTGGTCCCTTACCCTGTGCTGACACACATCTCAGGGATGGGGGAAGGGGAATAGCCTAGAAAACAACGTTTTAAAATAAAGTGCTCACCTTAAAGTAAGGAAAGTGTTCCGTCATGAAATTGTAAATCTCACTGACTGGGAGACTCCCAGTTTTACTGTTTTTCAGTGCCATGAAGATCAGGATGCTTGGGGAACAAAGAAGAAACAGTGGCCTTTACTGAGAGCACCACATTTCAGCGTATTATCTCTGGCTTCTCAGTAATAGGGAAAAAAATAGAATTTTGCAGCATTTTTGAGCTTTGCTGTAAGGGGAAGAATCCTGGTGATTCCTAAAGGCTGCATGAGGCTATTACTTTGCAATTCGTACACAACATCACGGTTGCCCTGCACATAAAGGGTCTGACTTTGGTTGAGTTACAGTACATCAGTGTAAAACCAATATGCATTTGTTAATACTGCACTCAGATGCAGAGGCTGCTGCAGACCCTATACAGACTGTCAAACTGACAATGCAAAGGGTTTAAACTTGAGGTCAATTTGTATTACGTTTACTGTGGTAACCTGTCCTCTGGAGAAGTTTCCACTAGGATGTTTGCTTTTGCTGTTATGTGGAAGGCGCAGAGGTAGGGGAGATGGACAGCAGTGTAAACATTAACCCTGTTTATGTGATCACCAAGAGGACCTCTTGCATGCAGGACAGGCTTGTTTTATTAGCAGCCTGGCCTTAGATACTCCAGCACAGTGGGGACTGAGACAGGACACAGTACTAGTGGCTTAGGGGTTAGTTTAACTGAAAAAACAGATGGCGCGAGAATGAAAAAAGCCTACACTTTACAAAGGAAACACTGTCTCACTTCATAAAAAACACTGCTCACCAACTGGTTCGTGTGTGTGTGTGTGTGTGTGTGTGTGTGTGTGTGTGTGTCCCCCTATCCTTCCCGTAAATAGATTGTTTACATTGCTCAATTTTAACATTCATCATACACATGGGAGCAAGTACCGTGATGCAAACGTCTAAAGAGGGTCATTCCCCTATCAAACACAGAGCACTAAGACAGCCCCTGCTCCAGGGACCACACAATCTAACTCTGATAGGAGACAAGGGAGACCTTTACCTGTAGGAATAGATGGGTTTAGGAAACAGAGGTGGCTGGGATTCTTGACTCCCTTGAGGAGCGATTCTCTGGAACGGGTAATGCGATGAAGCAATGTAGGTTACGGGGTAACTTCCTCCTGAGGAGTACTGATAACACGACAAAAGACAAGTTAATTGACTTAAACAAAAGACGCAAGAAACTCTCAGAAATGATTGATTCATATTAGTAAGAAAAGGTTCTGTTTCTGAGGATAACTTCCACCAAGCCAATGCGGCACTCTACTGAGAGATAAAATACTGCAATAATTACCCAAAGAGCATGAAACACTTCAAATAATAAAATACACCATGAAAGACTAACCCTCTAAAATAAGACAAAAGATTAAAGCTACAAAAAAAATTCTGGAGATAAAACAGAATGTTTTTAAAGTGGAGATGAAATAAACTAACACAGAAGCCCAAGAAGGCAAATTCCCATCTAGTAAGTTGCCAAAACCTTAGAAGTCCAGTTCTCAATTGCATACCTAATATGCTTTATCCCATCACCTTTCAAATATCTCATGTGATGAGGTTTTAGCTGCTTCGCTTGGGAAATTATTTGACTGCTTAACATTTCAAATTGTCAAGAAACTTTTCTTAATATTTAACTTGTATTTCTCTTTCTTAATTGTACCCTATCATTACTAATTAATATTTTGGTTGGCCAATAATTTCTCTTGCTCCTTGTTTACACAGTTGAAATATTTACTAGTAGGTGGTATCCCCTTACTGGTTCAGTTACTCCAGTTTCCTAGTACTGTTAGTTGCTTTTTCCTGTATTTCCGCTTGTTTGCTAGAATCTCTTTTTGTTCGGAGCTGCCCAGGACTGAATGCAGTATTCCTGGTGCAGTCAAACCAGAACCATATAGAGAAACATGCTGAAAATATTAACCTGTTTGCTATAGTGACAAACAAGCAAAAGAAACGGCATGGCAAACTTCTCCACTTTCGTATATCCTGTTCATGTAACATAAATACTGGGAAAACAATGAGGAGTCCTGTGGCACCTTGGGCCATGTCTACACTAGAAAACTATTTCAAAAATTACTAAATTCAACTTAAGAACTCCCAATTTAACTAATTCAAACTAGTGTGTCCTCACTATGGGGAAGCATCAAATTAGTCTGAATCAGGCTCTGTTAATGTGGACGCTAGGGATGTAAGCAGCTAGTTGACCATCTGATAAGCATAAGCTTATAAAATAGTCGACTAGTGATTCAACCAGTTGCTTCCTCCCTTTTACTGCTTCTATCAGAGAGGCAGCAAGGGGGCGGGAGCTGGAACCAGTGCTGGGGGGGGGGCAGCTTAAAAGCCGGGTCCCCCCCCAGCACTGGCTCCATGCGGGACACAAGAGGTAGAGAGAGGCACAATGGGAAATGGCACGAATGGGGACTGAAGCAGTTTCCGCTCATGCCGATTCTGCTTTTGAAATGTTCAAAAGCTGCAGCTGGGCTCTTGTACATTCCCCTGCTGGCCCCACACTCCCTGCGGGGCTTCCTTTTGAAATGTACAAGATCCACACTGGGGCTCTTGTACATTTAAAAGGCTGAGGCTCCTCAGGGAGCGCAGGGCCTGCAGATCTTCTGCTTTTGAACTGTAGGAAGAGTGCCCTTGTAGACTAATCGAATAGTCAATGGAAATCCCATCGACTATTCAATTAGTTCATTAATCTAAATGTAACATCTCTAGTGGACGCGCTACCTCAGACTTAGCCATAGGAAGCACTGGGGAGTAAACAGTTCAAATTACTCTGAGTAATTATTCTGAAATAGCGGCACTGAACATCCACAGTACTGTTGTTTTGAAATAACTATTTCAGGATTAGCTTTACTCCTGATGGAAAAACCGGAGTACAAATTTCAAATTCTGCGGCCCATTATTTCAAAATAACGGGCTTGATAGTGCAGATGCTCTGCTTATGCATTTGACCTTGGGGGGAGGGGAGGTGTTATGTTGAAATAAAGTCCTAGTGTAGACCAGGGCTTAGAGACTAACAGATTTATTAGGGCATAAGCTTTTAAGACTCACTTAATCAGATGAACTAGAGTGGAGTTTACAGAAGTAGGGGTGTATCTATATAAGGTCACAAACAACACCCTATACTGGAAACCTGCTAACTGCTATTCTTGCCTACATGCCTCTAGCTTCCATCCAAGGTACATCACACAATCCATTATCTACTGCCAAGTGCTAAGATACAACCGGATCTGCTCCTGTCCCTCAGACAGAGACAAACACCTACAAGATCTTTATCAGGCATTCTTAAAACGTAAATACCAACCTGGGGAAGTGAAGAAACAAATTCACTTCCAGGTACTCATCCTGCTCTGTCATCTACTTCAGAGGCCCAACAAGAAAAATTATAGAACCCCACTGGTCATTGCAGCCCCCAGCTTAAACCCCAAGAGTGCCTCGACAGTCTACAGTCTACCCTATCCTGGAAAATGATCCCCCTCACAGATCTTGGGAGACTGGCCAGTCTTTGCCTACAAACACCTCCCCAGCCTTAAGCAAATACTCACCAGCAGCCACACACCAAACCTCAGAAACACTTACCTGGGAACCTACCCCTGCAATAAACCCCATTGCCAACTCTGTCCATATATCTATACAAGTGACACCTTCGCAGGACTAACCACATAAACTACAACATCAGAGGCTCATCCACCTGCACATCCACTACTGTGATACACGCCATCAAGTGACAGGAATGCACCTCTGCCAGTATATTGGCCATACTGAAAAGCCTCTGTGCCAAAGGATAAATGAACACAAATCAGGCATCAGGAATAGTAACTTACAACCCTATATGGCAGGGGTCAGTGACCTATGGTTCTTGAGCCAAGTATGGCTCAGTACAGAACCAGATATGTCTTCTGGCATTCCCAAAATACACACCTTTATAAATGAAAAATTAATTCAAATTGTTTAAAACATCTCTCTTGTCTTTCACCTTTAACCAGAGGTGAAAGTAAGACCGTGTGCTCCAGTAAGAACCAGCTGCACTCTGGCAAGAGGTGGCTGGGACACTCTCCTTGTTTAAAGGGCTGGCTGAGGACACGCTGTAGGGTACCCATGCACACTTCCAGCTGGGATAGCAAGAGGAACTGGCGGTGGCAGATGCCTCCATCTCTCTGCAGCAGCCTGGCTCCAGCCCCCATCTGACTGCTGTGATCTGTCCCCAGCTGCTGTGCTCCTGGGGCAGACCCTGGTGACCCTGCGACTGCTGCAACAGCCGGGTTGGTTCAGGCTCTGGCTGAGGCAGCCTGGATAACAAGGCCCCAGTCGGGGGCCCGGTCCCCATCTAGCCACAGCATCCTGCCCCCCAGTCCCAATCCTGGGGCAGGCCCTGCAGTCTGGCCCCCATCTGGCAGCAGGCAAGGCTGGCGGTGGCCCCCCTCCTGCAGCAGCCCGCATAGGAAGGGAGGCCATGATCAGGCTGCGTGATCCTGGCCTGGCCCCTCGTCCAGCCAGTGCTGCCCGGGTGCAGCAGCCTAGCTCCGTCCGGGAAAGTTAATCCAGCCACAGGGCCCCCACATACTCTACTTTCCACCCCCAGTACCCTGCCTTGCCTTCTGCACCTTCCACACAATGCCAGCCCTCTACCCTGAGCCTCTCGTACACCCCAAACCTGACTTCTGTACCCCTGCACCACAAACAGCACCCCCAGCAGCTGCAGAAGTCCCATTAAATAAAGTCTGAGTACAATGTTTCATTTATGCTGCTATTAACCATCATGTCAATTATCAATAATAAGTTATATATTTTTAGTCATGCAAATAGGCATTCTTACATGGCTCTTTGTTAACCACCTCTTCTGAATTTTGATGTAGTGTGGCGCTCTGGTTTGAAAAGGTTGCCGACCTCTGCTATAAGGGAACCCTTTAATCTCGCTGGACATTCAGTAATGGAAATAAAAGTAGCCATTCTTCTACAAAAGCATTTCAAACCCCAATTACAAAGGGAGACAGCTGAACTGGAATTAATTTGCAAATTCAATACTATCAATTTAGGACTGAATAAGCAATGTAGCCACATTTCTACATCAGCTGCTGTGAATGTGCCATTTCCATCCTGATTTGATTAGCCTCATTTACATAAGCACCCTCTGACTTTTATTGTCCTTATCTGTATACCCACGTCTCTGTAAACTCCACTCCAATTCATCTCCCTGAAAGCTTATGTCCTACTAAATCTGCTAGTTTCTAAGGTACCACAGGACGACTAGTTTTTATCTGCAAAAAGGAACACAGCTACCCCTCTGAAACTTGTCATAAGTACTGGTTCAAGCTGCAGCCCTTGGAACTACTATAAATTACATCTCCAAAGGCTTCAGAGGGGTAGCCGAGTTAGTCTGTAACTGGAAAAACTTAAAAAACAGCGAATGGTCTCGCAACACCTTAAAGATTAACAAAACACATAGGTGGAGCTTTTTTGGGTACAACCCACTTCTTCAGATGAATGGAGTATTAAAAGTCCAGTTTGGTTGGTTGTCACATCCTAATGACTTGTCTTGTGTGTTTAAAGTTTTATCAGGTAGAGAACTGGGCATTTATATAGTAATTTTAATTGTATCGGTTTCAGTGGCTCTTTGACAGGAAAGAATTCTGAGGTGAAAATGACTGTGGTGTCATTAGTTTCAGAAGGGTAGCCGTCATTGTGATGTTATTACCAGGTCCAGAGGCAAGAACTGGGTGTGTGAAATATTATGTCTATTTTATTGGCTTTGGTGCTTCTTTTTGAGGGGCTGGAGACTGGGGAAAGGTCTGGCATGATGGGCTTGTACCGGTTACGACCTGGCAAACTGTCATAAAAGGTGTCCATGCTTTAGGGTGGGTGGATGACTAGAGTAAGTGCTGCATGTCTGCTGTTGTTTTCAGGTCCATAAGATCTCATGGTCTAGCTTTTGCCCTTTAAAGGGGAAGACCTGACCAATTTATCCTACTGGCATAATTAATGAGGAAACTGACCTCTCGCTTCTATATTGATGTGAGGCACAGCTTGGGCAATCTCTTTTTTTTTTTTTTCTGGCTATAGGCCCCATTTGCTTGTTTTTCCTTTTTAGTAAGCTAAATTGCTCTGCTCTAGTTAAGGTTTATAGTGTGAAGCTTTGCTGAAGTCTGACAGCATTCCATTCCAATACAAAGTTTGGGAGAAACAGTATACTAGGTAGCCCTCACACCTTCATGTCTGGTGCTGGACTATAATTCTATTGATTGCAACTTCGGCAACTCATGCCAGTCATTTTCCTCTCTGGGCACTGGTATACATTGCCATTATCTTTATCATATTAACATAAAAAGAGAAAATGATAATAGTAACCTGCTACATGTGAGAAGTTTGTCACGGTGCCAGTCTACAGGTGGATGAAGACTTCCTTTCATGTAATTCTTGTTGTGTCTTGCCCAGCTACTCCCTTTTTATCTTGCTTAGCTACACCCTTGTGTTTCAGAAGTTACATTGTAAGATTGTTTTTTTTCTTTTAATCCAGTTAATGCCAACATGTAATAACAATGTTGGCATCATGACAACAGTGGAAAGGGATAGGATAGTTGTATTCATAGGAAATAAGGAAAATGAAAAGAATGTGCAAATTAATTGGCAGCCAAAATGATATTTCTGCTAAGGTTCCATGTAGTGTGAAGCTGCATATGTATATTTCGTGGCGACAGCACCCTGAAATCTGATTGCTATCTGGATAGCTGGTCATAGCTGCTTTCATTGCAGGTCTGATTTTGGACTCACTCATCTCAAATCCACAAAAGGAATGTTCATTAGAACATTGGTAGATTAGGTCTACCAGTGCATGCTGCAATTTTTCTACTCCGTTCAAGATTAATCCGGCATAGGTCTCTCTTGAATTATGACACTGAAAGAGCTGTTAGTGAAAATTAAAAAAATTGTCAGGGCGTGATGTTGTTCCCCAGCCCCGTTTCTTATGCCTAGCCAGGGTGGAAGAAAAACCCCTGTTCCCTCTGCCATCTGTCCCAAGGCTTCTGTTCTGGTAAATTCTATAGTGTATATATTTAGCTCCTGCACACTGTAGGATGACTACATGCTATGGGAGCTGGGGGCTGTAGAGAGCAGGCATCTTGGACAGGAGTGGGGAAAAGATAGGGTGGGTATTTCCTGTGTCCTGTGGCCACCTAGTGGTCTATAGGAGAGGGCAAGCCTCCAATTGGTTAATTAATAGATTTTTGGTAGCACCTAGTGACCCCAGCCAGAACTGGGGCCCCAGTGTGCAAGGAGTTGTACAAATATGCAGTAAAAGACAGTCTCTGTCCTGATGATATTATAATTAACTACACAGGGTAATAGGAAGGTACAGAGAATAAGGAGTGGAGGCAGAGGGAACACCAGGGTAATAGTAATAGGAACACATGGGTCCTCTGAGTGCTTGCTCACGTCCATTCCATGTTAGGTGTGTTTGCTTGCCACGTGCACTGATGCCAGAAGTGTTTCCCTCTGGGGTATCCACTCTGGTGCCCCTGGGGGTGATGTCTGTATGGTGTGGTATAAGGATTCCTGGCTTCCTCCCCCCTTAGCACCTTTTTACTACCAGTGACCGTGCTGGCATGTTCCTTTGCACCTTACCCTTATAAAAAAGACAGCGTATGGAACTCTGCAGGAGCAATTACAACCACATCTGACCCTTCTTCCCAAGGTGGTTTTGTCTTTCCACATTAACCAGGACACCAGTGTTCTGCCCTAAGCTGCATAACTCGACCCAGGAGAGGCACTTGCATACTCTAGTTGTTGCCTACTGCTGGTGTTTTACCTGGACAGACCTAGCCTTTCCACAGGTGCACACAGCTCTTCGCTGCCATGGCAAATCAGATGAAGGGTCCTCCGGACTCCTTTCAAAGGATCTCCAATTGGATACATCCTGCATCAGACCTGTTATGATTAGCTCAGGCCCTGCTGCCACTTCTGGTGAAATCACGCTTCACAAAAGAACAGGCTTCTTTGTGGCCTTCCTGGCGCATGTACCCATCCAGGACATCTGTAGAGCCATGACGTGGTCATTGGTCCACATGTTCATGGCTTGCTACGTCACCACCCAGCAGGCTAGAAACTATGCTGAATTTGACAGAGCTGTGCCACAAAGTATCATGTTCATGAACTCTTACTCTTTTCTGGAGATACTACTTGGGAGTCACATGATGTCAGTGCTTTTTTGTGACGGTACTGCCCGGTATGCAGTACTGGCACCTCCAGACGCAGTACTGGCACCTCCAGTCAAACCTCAACAACTTTTCCCGTGGAGTACCGGCACCTTTTTAAACAATAAAAGCACTGCATAATGTGGAATGTACATGAGCCAGCACTCGAGGAAGAACAGACAGTCACCTGTTTCTTAACTGGTGTTCTTCGAGATGTGTGACTCATGTCCATTCAATGACCCACCCTCCATCCCTGCTGTTGTCCAGAACTGATAATTTGTCAAAGACTTAGGTTCTGAAGTGACAAATCATCCATTCACAGACAGGATTTATTGTGTGATGTACACATTGCACACTGAGAAGAAAATTCATGTACTACAATGTATACAAGTATAACAAATTCTGCATCACACCAGCAATATTGTTTAAACAAATTGATTGAAGATATACTTAGTCACAAAAGTGGCTTTATGTACACTTGAAATGTACAAGTCTGCTATCTGTGGACATTTAAGTGCACCTTTAAGTGCACATGCACTTAAACATTCTGGGTACTTGCACACTTGTACCATATGTAGTTACATACTGTATAGAATAGTGATAGAAATGTAGCCGTGTTAGTCTGGGGTAGTTGAAGCAAAATGCAGGACAATGTAGCACTTTAAAGACTAACAAGATGGTTTATTAGATGATGAGCTTTCGTGGGCCAGACCCACTTCCTCAGATCAAATAGTGGAAGAAAGTAGTCACAACCATATATACCAAAGGAAGTGCTTCTGAAAGTGTTCCATGGAATCACTTTGAGAAACACATTAACTGGCCACCCCGGTTTGTTTATTTACCAGCACTGCAGCCATAGAGCCTCGTGGCTGCCATTGGCTCCATTTCGTCCTTTGCAGCCAGTGGTGTGGGCCTGGCCACCGCTTCCCGCAGCTCCCCTTGGCTGCAAAGGGCAAAATGGAGCCAGTGGCAGCCGCGAGGCTCCGTGGCCACAGCGCCGGTAAATAAACAAACCGGGGTGGCCAGTTAATGTGTTTCTCAAAGTGATTCCATGGAACACTTTCAGAAACACTGCTGTATAGGAAACAATTGCAGGGATGTGTATTCATTTTTGTACAAGCAAACACTTCACTGGCTTTAAAAATCTGACTGGGACCTATGCATATCTACGGAGTTCATCTACAAGGGTAACAAGATAATTTTTACTCCTGCCAGCATTTGTAGCACTAAGATAACTAGTTAATGGAAGCACAAACTCTATACTGTTCTGTGTATCAAAACAACTGTTAGTTCAGTTTTCATTGCAGAATCTTTTAATTGAGGTGGGATAATAGTGGAAGTGTTGCAAAATAAATGGATTATGGGAATTAAATACCAATAAGGTGATTTGTAAGTATAGCAACACAGGGCTGTTTAAATCTATGTGAACTACCCAGATTTTGAAAAGTACTTTTCTATGTGTATTGTTGTTTGAGGGCACATTAAATATAATATTTTCGTTGCAATAGAGTCCAGGGGGATTCCAAGATTTTCAGAGCCAGGCCTCCTAATGTGTGGGGTAAAGGGCACGGTTGTCCCAGAGCCTGGCAATTCTAAAGGGCTCAGCGCGCTGGCTACTGCTACTACTGCAGTGGCTGGAGCCCCAGGCCCTTTAGAATCACCGCCAGAATGCCAGGAAGGACATTCCAATGCCAGGAAGGACATGCTGTGAGCGCCAGAGGGGCAGAGGGAGGCGCCCTGCATTCCTGGTGGTGCTGAGGGCTGGCTGTCCCAGCCCCATCTCTTCTGCCTGAGGCCCCATCCCTTCCAGGAGCAAGGAGTCACCTTCCTGCCACTGCCCAAAGACCCAACAATCCTGTCAGCAGCCCCGGATGACGCTAGTAGTTACAAATGTAAAATCTTTCAACTTGTCACCAGCTTTCTCTGGAGATCATTGTAAGAGAATAAATGAGCAATATCTATACAAATGTTAGTATTGTTTCTGTGCAAACATGTATAAAATTCATGTCTCTTTCTCCTGAGCTTTTTTTCCTAAGTAACATGAGACTATTCATGTAGGGACATACCCACAAGTGCAAAATTAGTTGATACTGTTCACCTTTAGTCATAGCCACCATACCAGTAACTTGGAGGACATTGGGTTGATCCAGTTGTCCACATATTTCCCATACCTGGTGAAACTGATGTGAAGGACAGTACATCTGCTGCACTTGGGGCTGGTAACAGTACAGACTCTGCTGCCCTTCCAGTGGAGATGTCTTAAGCTTGACCTCTGAATCCTGCTAAAATATATTCAGATAAAGAGTTATTACAGAAAATGACGCTAATTTAAATAAATTAAGCCTTTCAGTTACTGCCTCCATGCTGCCTTTGGCTGTTTTCTCTAGGGATGTAATAATGTAGTCAATTAACCAGTAAGTGGGTGCTTATCAGTTAACACTATGGACCACACACACACACACACACACACACACACACACACACCCAAACACACACACACACACGCCCCCAGCCTCCTGCCCTGACTCCTGCATCCATCCCCACACTCTAGGTCCTAGCAACTACCTCCCTGAAGCTCTCCATTCAAAGAACTTAAAGAGCCTCGTGCTGGCTCTTAACTGGCTTCTATTGCAGAACCGCAGTGGGGGTAGTTGCTGGGACCAGCTTGAGTTGGGACTGAGTGCTTGCAATGCAAACCCTTATTGATTATGTTCTTATGCTATGTTCTTATGATTAATCCTGTAGTCGACAATGTTTTTGTCGACAACATGATTAACAAATTACACACTTCTTAACATCCCCTACTCTTGGACTTATTTCTACTCAAGAAGTATTAGCAGTAACGTAATTCATCTGCTAGAGCTGTTAGAAGGAACATCGTCTTAGCAACCGCACAAACATTAATATTTAGAAAGAAGGGGACTGTTGTTAAAATACTCTGACAAATATGAAAAATCCAGAAAATGATCATTTGTTTTTCTTCACAGACCAGAATAATCCATACTCCTTAGCTCTTTTTGCCTCTTTCACTCCTTTAGTCCCTCACAGATTGTCAATAGAAGGAATGCACAAACCTGGAGGGAGAGTTGGGAATCAGGTTGCTGAGGAAAATCACACTAAAATGACTGCATCAGCTAGCTTGATTGCTGTAGAAAAAATCCAGTTGTAGAATATGAACCATCTCTAAAACTGCCGATAAGAGCAGTTGGTTGGTTAGCTTCTGCAATTCGGACTTTTTCCCCTGGTGCCCATCTATTTGTCTAGGATTCCACACTTGTATACTGCCAGGGTCCTACATACTTGCCTGAGGGATGCTGATATAGCAAGAATATTCAAAGTCTTTATATCAGAGGGATAGCCATGTTATGCTGTATCCACAAAAGAAAGGAGTCCTGTGGCTCCTTAAAGCCCATGAAAGCTTATGCCCAAATAAATGTTAGTCTTTATTAAGGTACCACAGGACTCCTCATTGTTTTTGCAAAATCCTTGGCTATCCTTCCAGCAGTAACAACACCATAACAAGCAAAATTCAGTCTTAGTGAACAGAGAGCAGCAACACATTTAAGGAGATTACCTCAGAAAATGAGAGAAGCTCAACTTCCATTTTCTTTTCAGTTAGGATATGTCTATGGAGCACGCTTGTTCTGAAATAAGTTATTTTCAAATTTCTTTTCCAAAACAGTTTATTTTGAAATAATACATCTATGCTACAGGGAAGCCTCAAAATTAGTCAGAAGCAGGCTTCCCGAATAGGGATGTGCTACCTCGATTTAGAGCCCCGGGAGGTACTGGGAAGTAATTACTTTGAATGGCCCTGGGGAAGAGCCAGGTGAATGCCTAGCTGCGAAGATGGTGTCGCCAGGAGGGCTTTGACTTCATTGACCATGGGATGCTATTCTAAGAAGGACTGCTCAGCAGCTACAGGATTCACCTTTTGAGGAAGGGGAAGACCGTATTTGGATGCAGACTGACTAACCTAGGTTCAACGGGGGCAGGTGACCAAAGCCCACAGGTAAGTGGAAAAACAGTCCTGGGAGTTGGGTCGGAAATGAGAGGGAACATGTGCTATGATTGCAGAGAAAAAGGGGGGACTAGGCAAAACTGGGAGGCAAGATCAAATCAGTATCTTAGATCAGTGTTTCTCAACCAATGTTACGAGTGCCCTTGGGGTACTCAAGAGAAGCCGGGGGGGTACGTCAACTCAACTGAAATCTGGAGAACTGAATTTTTGTGTTAAGTTTTACAGCGCTATATTATTTTTGTACTTTTTACATCCAAACATTTCATCACCTTCCCAGCTATGATTGTTCTTTAAACAAATGTGTTGCAATGCCTAGGGAGGTTGTGGAATCTCCATCTCTGGAGATATTTAAGTGCAGGTGAGAGATGTTTATTAGGGATGGTCTACAGTACTGGGTCCTCCCGTGAGCGCAGGGGACTGGACTCGATGACCTCTCGAGGTCCCTTCCAGTCCTAGTGTTCTATAATTCTATGTTGACATAGCAGCAGTGGTGCGTCCACAGTACTGCTATTCCGAAATAGCTATTTCGGAGTAAGTGTTATTCCTCGTGGAATGAGGTTTACAGATTTCTAAATAAGCCCTCCATTATTTCAAAATTTCCAAATAACAGAATTGCTGTGTAGACACTTGCATTGTTGTTTTGAAATAACGGCCATTATTTCGAAGTAACTGTGCTGTATAGACGTACCCTAAGAGTTCTATAAAGACGGATGGACAGATTTGATCAATAGTTTAAACATGGGTACATGGGATAATTTCTAATAAGTGTGGAGCAGCATTCTTTAAATGATCCTGGCAACCTGATTAGACCACAGATTTGAGTTCCCTACCAACTGATGCAATCTGGCAGGTCATCTTTAAAATCTGCACTGTCACTTTAAAAATAATCGTCAATATTTTTGTGCTATATCAAAATATATATGTTCTCCTACTGACTTTGCAGTGTTTTATCCACTGAGCACTATTCAAAGGAATGCATATACAACAGAACTTCGGAGTTACAGGTTTGAAACTTTACCATGCAAGAGAGAAATACAGCTTTGAAACTTCTTAATTTAAATCAAATAAGCACAGAAACAGTTTACTTAACTTGTCATTTTTTGGAAAGTTTCCCTTTATTTTTTGTAGTAGTTGACATTTAACAGTACTGCTCTGTATCAGCTCTTTTTTTTGAGGAGGGGGTTTTCTCTGCTGCTGCCTGATTGGATATTTCAAGTCCACATATTGAGTTTATAGGGAAAACATTTCTATGGACTTCTGAGAATTACATTTACTTGAGGAAAGGGAGTCCCATGGGGAACTGCAACAGAAGTAGTACAGACGTTTATCTCTCCCACAACCTTGAAAAGTTATGCCAGGGATAAGAAGAATTATTTCCAAAAGTAGCTGAAGACCCTGATGATAGCTTTCTGTGTATGGTAACTCACCATGACTTGGGAAACATGATCTTGGCTTGTAGGGTTGTACTGGAGATTGTTGCACCATGTTGGTTCTGTGGAAATGTTCTGCATATGTGTAGGAAAGGATTCTGACTCTCCAGTGCCTGTAGATCCTGGTAGCTCTTCAAAACCCTCAGTGCTTCTTGCATTTTGGAAGGAATTCCCCTCCAAGGTAAGGGCTGGATGAGTTTCTTGGAAGGCATCTTCACTGAGCTCCCTCTTATAAGGGTGGAAGGGGCTTCTGCTGCCCTTGATGAACCTGCCATAGTTTGCAGCAGTGCATTCCTCATAACTAAATCTTCTGAATTTCTCAGCATTGGGAGAGACTTTAAATTTGCACTTGCCAGTGTGAATTCCTTGGTTGGAAGGAAATCTCCCCTGGGTTTGGTCCTGGGTTGGAGAAGAGGGGCTTGGGCTGTGAGAAGATTCTGAACTCTTTCTTTCCGTCCTGCTGTCTGGATCATATGATTGGCAACTGAAAGTGGGATTATCCTGCAAGGCACAATTTCACACTTTTGAACTTCAAGATTTGGCACTTTCAATAAACAATGAACACTGGGCTACTAAAACATATTCAGAGAGGGACTTGCAGATTCAGAGGGTCTACACTACAGAGTGTGTGTGTGGTGGGTTGTTTTTTTTTAAAAACTGCTGTTTCTCTGAAAAAACTACAATTAACATCCACATTGCCATGTTCTTTTGGGAAAAAAATCGAAAACTGAGGGGATGGTAAACCTCTTTCTATGAGGAAGAAGCCTTTTTGCGAAAGAGCTCTTTCGGAAAATGGTGTGTGTGTGGATGGGGAAGAGGGAGTTATTTCACAAGAAGAAGAAAAAAGAGGAGAAAGCACAGGTGCCCTGGTGGCCATTCTGCCCATAGTAATCACAGCTTACATGCGAAATAGCGGCCATTCAGTGTGGATGTTATCTGTCGAAAAAGCAGATTGCTTTTTTTGATGCACTTTGGCAGTGTGGATGCTCTTATTCGGAAGTTTTTTTTGGAAGATCACTTCCGGAAAGACTTCTTCAGAAAGAAGCCTGCAATCTAGACATAGCCAGAAAGACCCTGCCAGGGAGCTCTGCATGAAAATAGTGTTCCCTGCAGAAAGAGAGCGACCTCGAAGTACTTCGTGTGTCATAAACTTATGTTTCAGTGGTCACTGGTCTACATAAGAACTTCTGTCAATTCTGTTTATTTTAAACACAGTTTGAATGGAATAGTAGAGCCCTGCATGGGTACAAAATTTGTATCCACATCTATATCCACAAAAATGAGACTTGTATAGCCACATCCAAATCCATGGATGCGGATACCCACAACATAACGCAGATATCCGCAAATTTGCAGGGTTTTATGGATTAGTCACACTACACCCATTGCTGCTATGACAATCAAGGATATTCATTTAGTTCAATAAGTTTCTGTCTTGAAATGTTAAGGGGAAGTTGATGTAGCCTGATGTGTGGTGCCACTTTGAGCATTTCTTGCCACTAAACATCAGCAGTCCGTGCTAATCTGGTTTCATAGAGAAATTGTGTTTTCAGAGACTCCTCCAAAACACAAATCCAATTCCTGCCCATTCTTGGCTCAATGGATGAATGAAAACCAATTTCAATATTTTGTAACTCCCCTTCCCGTTTCATTCCTTAAAACAAATAAAACCTGTCTGCATGTAGGCCATTTTTGTTTCACCGAGAAGTATTATAAAATCGTAGAGATAGTTGTGCTGAGCTTTTTGGACAATACTGTTAATCGGCCACCTGAAGTTTTCATGATGGAATCATGATACTTGCTTTCTCTGTAGTGGAATGCAATATATTAAACCAGATGGCAGACACTGACATGCCAAAATCATCAGCTATAAAATTACAGCATTCTTTTGCAGCAAGCTGATGGGTTGAATGTGTGAGCAGTAAGAATCAGAGAAATTCAGTTTATGACTTAGTCACAACCAAGTCCAAAGCAATGGGGGTTATCTTCCCATCTTGCCCATCTCCTGCCAGTGGGTTAATCCTTTGAGTCTAATTTCTATCTTTCTGTAAAGAAAGGGTATACAATAATGTCTAAAAAACCCCACGAGTTGTAAAATAACAATTATGCCTAGTAGAGAGAAATTGCCTGAGTACTGAGAATCCAGTAGAAGAGTACTCATAAGGCTTAATATGCAGCACCATGTGTTAGCTATCCACATTTCAGAAACATAATTTAAATGTTTGCTCTTGTACACCAGTTGTGATTTCTGGAACCTTCTGTGACCATAAAGATTTCTGAATTTATTCTTGTGTTTATTTCTTTGGACAGCCAAATTTGAGTCTCGGTACCTCAAAGGTTAAGCACTGTTTCTGGGCTTTTCCTTGTTGGAAAGGAGAAAAGAGATTGCACATGTTACTCACAGTTTGCTGAGCTGAGGAGCTTGGGCTCCCTTGTGTCTGCATGAGGTTGTCTTGTTGGTCACTTTCCAGCAAGTCCGAAGAAGAGAATTTAATATTAGGTTGATCTTCAAGCAATGAAACCATTACTAAGTCCCAGCCAGGTAGAAATCCTGTTGTAATGGAACTAAACCACAATGATCATCAGTATAAATCTGCTTAAAAGTCTACTGTAAATGAACAGCCTTTGTTCCAGAAGCTTTGGTATGTCAGACCAATATTCCTTGGGTACCTGCCTGACCAATATTCTTCTCCCTCAGATTGTAAGCATTTCTAAAACCAGAATTTTTAAATAAATCACCTGATTATCTGGGGAAGATTCTGACTGAAGATATCCAATCTAGTCACAAGTTGTAACTACTTTTACCCCATTCACCAAAAACTCTGCCAATTTACCAACACACTGGCATCTTCTCATTGCTTTCTGCATAGGGAGAGGTGTTTTACAGGTGTATTAGATGAGAAGCTGTGGTGGTAGCCACACTAGCTTACTATGCAGCACACAGCTCCTACATGGAGGATTATGATTGCACTGGGAAAACTGCACTGCTTGGGGGTGTTGTCTGAGGATAACAACACTGCTTTGTTGAGAAGCTCTTATGCAGATGAAGCCACTATTCTGGGAAGGGCAATTTAAAGGGAAGGTTTATCTTTTCATTGCTTAGGTTGGGAGGGGTCATATATTTCCACTTCATGCGTTAAAGGCATATGACCTTTTGACTTCTGCCTTACATCATGGCATGTACCTGAGATGGGTAAGTATCCCACATCACTTAATGCTATGTAATGTAACCACTCGCATCTTCCTCTCTGTCCTTAATCTTTGATCTGGGACATTTCTGATACTCTTTCTTTGTGTTAAGAGAAGCAAGTTTCATTTTCTAATCTTTTGTGCTATGGGATCTCATGGGTCTTGCTCTTTGCAACCTCACTGAGTTTCTCGGGCAGTAATAGTAATAGCTTATCCTATATATCACACACATTCTGCTGAATGAGTTACTCTACAGCAGGGGTGGGCAATCATTTTTGATAGGGGGGCCACTCCAAGAATTTGGAAAGTGGTTGAGGGCCACACTCTTCCAGAACATCAATGGAGGAGGTGCAGAATCTGGGATGGAGGTTGGGTGCAGAAGGGAGCTTGAGGTAAGGGAGGGAGTTTGGGTAAAAGACAGTTGTGACCTGGGGCTCTGGACTGGGGTGCAGGGGGTTATATTGTGACCTAGGGCAAGGAATTGGGGTACAGGAGGGGGTGCAGCTATTTGGATTGTGAGCTAGGGCAAGAGGGGACTGTGATCTTGGGCAGGGGATTGGGGTGATGGATATGGGTACAGGAGGGAGGAGAGGATTTGGGTATGTGGAGTAGTGGGCAGAGGGTTGGGGAAGGAAGGGCCTGGGGTGCCAGAGGTAGGCTCTGCCAGGAGACTTACCAGCCAGCAGCAGTTCCTGAATCGGTCTCCCTGCCTGCCCCACCCCTGCACAGGCTGTGACCATGTGCTCTGGAGCTCCTTGTGCTTCATGGCTTCCTTTTTGTTGAAACAGGCAGCTCCCATTGGCCAGTTTCTGGCCAGAAACTGGCCAATGGGATTGTGCTGGGGGTAGAAGCATCTCCTAAAGCTTTCCCTCTCCCCTCCAGACTCTCAGTTTTTAAAGAAAATCCTCCCCTTAGCTGCATTTCCCAGCCTGCTTGGGGCTCCCCACAGCATCCACAGGCAGGATCCAGTGGCTTGGAGGACTGGATAGGCTGTATTTTGCCCAGGCCTGATCTACAGAGAGATCCTGTAATGTCTGAGCTATGCTGAAGCCTCAGAAGTTGTCGGATTTTAAAATCCTATCTTTATGTAAAGAGTTAATCATTGGAAGTTTTGTTACATATTTGAGTGGCTGTTAGGTAGATAACCAAGGAGTTTATTAGATTTGATTGAAAAAGATACATAATTTTAATAGATGAAAATTTTCATTTGCCTTTATAGCTCAAAGAAAATATATTTTATGATGAGTAGGTGTGCTGAAATGTGCACTGCTCAGGGGTGTGAAACACAGTGGGGAATGGAAATCAGGTAGGAGACCTCTGCTAGTTCAGAAAAAAGTGATGTTCACTAACATTCAGAAATGTCTTGGGCACAGGATCATTTCTGAGCAGTTTATCTGGAAGCTGACATGGAGGAAACATCTGATTATTGATGCTCATAATGAAAAGAGCAGGTGGGAAATGCTGACAACTGGGACCTACCACATGGATTTGTAGATGCTGAGCACCGGCCTCCCTTTTCTCAGTACAGGCAGTCCCCGAGTTACGCGGATCCAACTTATGTCGGATCCGTAATTACGAACGGGGCTTTTCTCGCCCCGGAGGACACGGGCGGCGGGACTGTGGCGCGTCTGGGCATCCCACCGCCCGCATCCTCCGGGGCGAGAAAAGCTGCTCTGCGTCTCCCTGGTCTGCTGGGGGAGCCCCCCCCAGCAGACCAGGGAGACGCAGAGCAGCTTTTCTCGCCCCGGAGGACACGGGCGGCGGGACTGTGGCGCGTCTGGGCATCCCACCGCCCGCATCCTCCGGGGCGAGAAAAGCTGCTCTGCGTCTCCCTGGTCTGCTGGGGGAGCCCCCCCCAGCAGACCAGGGAGACGCAGAGCAGCTTTTCTCGCCCCGGAGGACACGGGCGGCGGGACTGTGGCGCGTCTGGGCATCCCACCGCCCGCATCCTCCGGGGCGAGAAAAGCTGCTCTGCGTCTCCCTGGTCTGCTGGGGGAGCCCCCCCCAGCAGACCAGGGAGACGCAGAGCAGCTTTTCTCGCCCCGGAGGACACGGGCGGCGGGACTGTGGCGCGTCTGGGCATCCCACCGCCCGCATCCTCCGGGGCGAGAAAAGCCCCGTTCGTAATTACGGATCCGACATAAGTTGGATCCGCGTAACTCGGGGACTGCCTGTATTCATTTCCCACGTGCCTCGTTTCTCAGAAAGAGGTGGCTGACCTGGGCTGTAAACTTGAATGTTGACCAGTTGTTTTGTGGACCAAAAATTCAGAATCTGATTTAGAAGCATTGGTCAGGCTACAATAATGATTCAGTGAACCTGTGTGTGTTTGAAAGACTCTCTCAGTAAGACCAATAAAGGATAAGAAATAATGTGATTTCAAGAAGTCAGTTTGAGAGATGGCTGAAATGAAGAGTTTTTTGTCTGTGTGTTGCTGGTAAATAACTTCCAAACCTCAGCTACTTTCATTCTGTCTGCCACAAGCCCTGTGTCCAGAGACAGTGCAATCAGATTCCTGTCATGGGTCAGGAAAGGTCCTACCTGAAACACAGGACATTCCGGTTCTGGTTATCTGAAAGCCATTGGCTTGCCATTGTGAAAATGGTAATGAATCTATTTGGATTATATGGGGAGTTTAGTACACCGTGGATAAGGAAAACTAATTTTTTGCTCTTTCCAATATATCCTTACTTATTGCTGTCAAATTTTACCAGCCTTTGCCTGTGCTTTTTGTTTTGCTATCTCTTAGAGACTGGCATGAAAGGAACAGCCTGCCTGCCTTAAGACTAGGATCAGTCTCCGCCAAGCAGTAGAAGTATCTTATTGAGTTATAGCTGAAAGCAAAACTAGTAGTAATAGTACACTGGCAAACCAGTTGAGCGATGGCTGTGGTGTCCAACACGCTAGCCACATGTGGCTATTTGGCTGATGGAGTGTGGCTAGTTGGCTTGAGCAATGTGGCTCTTTGGCCAGCTGAGTGTGGCTACTTCGCTTCAGAACTGGTTGGACGCCAAAGAGCTAGGAGTAGAATTCCCAGCACACAAAGGCAGATGTGTGCTAGCTCAGCTCTCACTGAACTATCCCACTACCGGAGTGTTGCCAGGGTAGCACAGGCCGTGAAGAGGGGCAGTGCAGGCTAGCTATGCCAAGTACAAACTGGCCTGAACCCTGTGGGCATGTCCTTGGCATAGCTAGTCCGTGATGTCTCTTGCCACTGCCCATGCTACCCTGGGTACATTCATATTCTTAGCACTCAACGAGAGCTTGCACGAGTATGTCTATGCAAGCTGGCAATCACACCTGTATCACCTAGCGTGCAGCCTTTGCCCCCTTCTCTACCTCTGCATTTAGAATACCCCTCCAAAAATATACAGTCTTCTCTCTGCTGCTTGTCAAGAAATTGTGTGTGCAGATCACATGCTTGCTTTGTTTCCTCCCCTGGTTTTGTGTGGTAGTGATTAGTCAGGTTAATTACCTTTAAGGAATTGTTCTGAAAATCTGATTTTCAGAACATGATCAAGCCCATTTAAGAAAATTTAGTTAATGGAATATTCTAATAAATTGGAAGTATATTCTCTCTACTAAATTAAACTATTTTGTATGAATGTCCTACTTATTTGCCTATTAAGTCAAAACATTTCTTTCTCTCTCTCTCTCTCTCTCTCTCTCTCTCTCTCTCCCTCTCATATATACAATTATAAAACACTCCACACGTCTCAAGTAGTAGTATGTTGGCTGAAGCATTCAGAACAAATGAATTTCTCATTAACTACCAACTCTGTCTCAACAGATTAAATGTGAACACTAAATGCAAATTATAAAATTAGTGCACCAGAAACACCTTTGTTATAGTTGTTGTTTTTTAAAGATTATGTTGGAAAATGGGTAATGAGGCGGGACTGACATTATTCCTTATTCATAAAGTGTGTGTGTGTAGGGGGGAGGGGAGAATCTTCCCCCTAGTTAGTTTGGTTTTCCATTTATTGAAAAATCCCATTTAAGAGGGAAAAATTATGTCCAGTAGCAGTTGACAATAAGCAGGCTTGACTGTATAGTATAGTGAAAATGATACAGCCGCTCTTGGGGAGAGAGGGGACTTGGAAGAATATGAACTCCCTAGAGGTAGCGCTAACTCGTCATGGAAAACAATGACCCTTTGATTTTAAAAAAGGTATCTTATTCCCTTAGGAGTAGCTGAAATCATTTCTCTAAATCCCTTGTTATTTCTGCTTTTGTAAATGTTGCATGACAGTCCCAGGCTCCCCTGAGAAGATAATTATCTTTAAAAAAAATAAATAAAATAGAGCAAGAAACTGTAACTTCAGCTGAGTGTTTGAGTAAGCAGGGCAGCAGCAGCTGATCTATTAGCTCTGCAT